TTTTTTTTTTTTTTTTTTTGTTACATTCATTAACCGCCGACATTCATAAACATGCATCTTGACTATGAGGTCCTTAACTAAGTAATAACCGTTCAAAACATGTTTGAAAATGATTTTAAAATTGTTAAAATCACTCCTATCATATTCAAATGACTCGAACACATATTTTTAATTATTCAAATCAATTTTAATTTTTACCAACAATTTTTCTTTTTATAATCTACCATTTAAAAGCATTTATAAGATCACAATTCATTTTTAAAAAATACGTATTCACCAGAACCGTGTCAAGATCATGATACTACACAGTTGAAAATATACCAGTCGTTAAATATAATCGGAAGCAAAATAAGTAATTTATTAATTAACAATTTTGTTCATTAAAAGTCAACCATAATTTCCAAATATAAAAATAGTAAAAACAGAGCATTAAAGTCAAATTAATGGTTATTCCAACTTTCATGTTAACTTTTCTAATTATGGCATCTTATTTTCCCAAAGCTTGGATATTCTTTAAATTAAATTTCCAATATTAATTTTTTTAATAAAAAAAATTCTAAATAAATATTTACTCTAATTAATCTAAATATATGAATTAATTAGAGTATTTTTTTTAATTTTATTTTTTAAATTTCTTATTTTAGATTCTAATATTATATAAATTTTATTTTGATTTTTGTTGATTTCTTTACGACATTTAATTCGAATCTTTATGACTGCATATATAATTATGTATTCTAATGTTCATTTATTGAGTTACGTATCAAAATCAAATTGTCTAGAGAATAAAATAAATAAATAAATAAATAATGTGCAAGTTTATCTTTCTAACTTATAGAGAGAGAAAACAGGAATATTCCGCAGTAACTATTTCTAGATTCTCTAGAACTTTAAAGTAAATAATGAAAGAAAAGTAACTTTTTCAAAACTATATAAACTTCAACTTTCTTAAATATTTATCACTTATTTTTTTAAGTTATTGAATAAAAAACTACCGGGTAAAAATAATATTAAAGTGATTATGACCCTCTTACGACGATCGCTTAGATGTCTGTCAGCGAGGGTTAGCCCAACCAGCAAGTTTAGGGAGTGTGCAAACCTACATGGTGGGTCCATGTTTGCACATGTAGGTCGTGTGTAGAGAAGTTCTACACTTCCAATTTAGTCTAGACTGAAAAGCCGCCTAAAAAAATCAAATGTTGTTTTTACTAAGTAGGGGTACACCCTAAAATTTCATAAATTTTAAATATCAAACATTTACAAGTCACAGTCAATCACTCACATAAGTTATGAACATTAAATATTATCCATCTTTTTAAAAGTAAAGTAGGGTAGTGTAGGGTTAGGCAGGTTGTAACCCTATTTCCGAGCTTGCTTGGTCAACCTGACCATAAAGAAATGTAAACATGCAAATTGAATTGAATTTTTTGGTTTTAAAAAAATTCAACCTCACCCAAACAGAAAAAAAATATAACCCGAGTCAACCTTTATAGTTTGGGTTGAATAGTCCGAACTAATCCAATCATCGAATCACATGAAGACTCCTATTACTGAATGATCTCTTAAAAGAAAAAGATTCCAACTTTTTGGGTTGAATTTGAAGAATTCAAGGCCAAAAAGTACCGAATCAAAATAGATCATTAACCTATATTTGGTTGATATGATATATCCCACCCATAGCGAGAGAATCAAAAAAAAAAAAAAAAAAAAAAATTAAAGACAAAATAAAATCAAAAGAAGAAAATGGATGATAAAACCTAGGAAGGAAGGGGTTAGTGATTAAAATGAGACAGAGCGGTGTTTCACATTGGTTGGAGAAAAGAACAAAATACCCTTTCTAATGGTATGGAAACTTTCTTCTAGCATACACGTTTTAATGTCTTGAGAGGAAGCTCGAAAGGGAAAGCCCAAAGATGACAATATCTATTAGTGGTGGATATGAACCGTTACAAATAATATTAGAGCCAAACACTAGACTATGTGCCAGCGAGGAGGCTGTTTCCCAAAGGGGTAGACACCGGACTATGTGCCAACAAGGAGGCTGTTTCCCAAAGAGGGTAGACACGAGACGGTGTGCCAGTAAGGACGCTGACCTTGAAGGGGGGTGGATTGTGATGTCCCACATTGGTTGGAGAGGAGAACAAAACACTCTTGAGGGTTCGGGGGGCCTGGATTGTGATGTACCACTTTAGTTGGAGAGGAGAACAAAACACCCTTAGAGTAATCTCGATGGGAAGCCGAGGATAATCTCAAAAGAAAAAGTGTAAAAATGACAATATTTTGTAGCTAATAAAGGCCAGTTCCAGATAGGGATGGTCAAGAGAATGGTCAAAAATTAGCACATGAGGCTGTCTTATTAATTTTAATTTTTTTTTTTTTCAATTTTTCATAGTGGGCTGGTTGATTATGAAGGAAGGGCATTTTGGGAATTAAGCAAACAGTTCTTGAACAAAAGATTAACCATGATTAAGGTGTGAATCTTACAAAAAAAAAAAAAGAAAAAAAAAGAAAAGAGATTGCCATTTTCAAGGACCCAGAAGGAAAGCAAGCTGAAGAATAGAGACATAAACAAAGAAAAAAGCAGTTGAGAGAGAAAGTGTTGATTTAATTTGGAGGAGAGAGAAAAGGAAAAAGGGTGTTTTTTGCTCTCTCTCTCTCTCTCTGGTTTGACATTGGGAAGGAGAAAGAAAGCTCTGTGGTGTTTCATTGTAGGGGAAGATAGGGAACACTGCTTCAGCATTTGGTCTCTCTGTAACTAAGCACATACCATAACCAAATCCTTCCTTTTCTTCTTTGTCTCCTCTTTTGTTTTTTCAGATATCATTTTCCGGCTACTTCGCCGGAATCCATTGCCGGAGAGTTTTACTGTTCTTGACCTTTTTCTGTGAAAATTTGAGGCACTTTCCTCTTTCTTTTGTTTCTCTTTGGGCTTTGTGTTTTGGTGTTTTTTTCGGGAGCTGATCCGGTTGGTTGCAGTGTGTGTGTGTGATTAAAGCTGACTTTCTCCAGAACTTTTTGGTTCTTCGATCTGTTGTGTTTTTCTTTACGCTACTGGAGATTTCCTTTTCGTTGGAGAATATGAACCAGTGAGATTTTGAGGTTTGGTTTTGGTGTTTTTTTACAACTATTCAATCGCTTGAGGAGCCCTAAGTACGGCGGAGAACAATGAAGACGCCGGCGAACGGTGTCGCCTCCTCCGCCGCCGCGCCTAATTCCTGCGAAGGTACTCTCTCTCTCTCTCTTTCTCAAACAAACAAAATCACACAGTGAAATTCGTAAATCCTAATCTTCCTCCTCCGTTCAATTTCGAGCTTAAACTCTTCGATTTCAGAGCGAATATGAGCTTTTTCCTTTTCCAAAACTTCCGTAAGTTCATTTTTCAATTGAACTCTCGGAAAATTGCTCGTTACGATTAGACGAACCTGAGAGATTTTGATTTTTTTTTTTCCCGAATCCTTCAAGAAGTTCCGTAAATCGTTCATCGAGCTCAATTTCAGTCGAACTCTCGCCAAAATTACTCGATACAGTTCGTATAATCAGAGATTGGCATTTTATTTTTCGAAACCTTCCTGAACTCGAACTTAATTTAGATCGAAGTCAGCCTGAAAATCCATAGAGATCAGCAATTTCTCTTCAGAAACCTTCAAGAACTGCCCTAGATCCTCTCTCCACCTTAATTCCAATCAAACTCTAACAAATCTACAAACTACAATTCTAGAAACGATTAAACCACCAATTCCTTTCGAAATCCTCCAAAAACCTCAACAATTCCATTAATTCCCCCTCGTTTTTTTCCTAGAACAAACAGAATAACTAAAAAACCAAAATAATCGATTCTGTATCTGACATACCGTAAAACAGTGAATGCGCGACTGACAGATGGTGAATTGCAGGTGGATTGGAGAAGAAGATCATAAATCCGGAGTTATGGCAAGCGTGCGCCGGTCCACTGGTGAACCTACCGCCGGCCGGTTACCACGTAGTGTATTTCCCTCAGGGCCACAGCGAACAGGTCGGCCGCTGCGGCGGCGCCGCCTCTCTCTTTTCCCCCTTTTTCTTTCACACTCCGCCATTATTTTGCTATTATGCGCCGTTTTTGTATGTTACTTTTATTACTTTTTTTTAATTTTTAATTTTATTATTATATCCTTCATTTAACCATTGGAATTTTTAACTTTAATTTTACACATGGGATTAATTAATGCCCTATGTCCTTCCTTAGCTTCATTTATTAAAATTATTTTTGTCTTTTATTTCCCAGTTCTATTTTTAAAAATTATTTTTCTTTTACATTAAAAAAATATTTTTTGGCTTAATTTTTTTTATTATTTAAATTTTTCTATATTTTACATAAATTTCTTGTATGGAAATTTATCTATATTTTCTGTGATAAAAATTTGTTTTTTTGAGTAAATATTGGGCAACTAATTAGTGAAATTTGTAATTTCAGGTTGCAGCATCTTTAAAGAAAGATGTGGATGCTCAAATCCCAAACTATCCTAATCTTCCTTCCAAGTTACTATGTCTGCTTCATAATGTAACATTACATGTATGGATGCAGCCACTGTCTTGGTTTCTGGTGCATTTAAATTTGTGGGTTTCTTTCTGTTTTGTTGAACTTTGTTCTTTGATATTTGTAGGCTGACCCAGAAACTGATGAAGTATATGCTCAAATGACACTACAACCAGTTCCTTCTGTAAGCACCTAAATCAGTTTTCTTGCAAGATTTTCATTCTGTCAATTTTTCATGTTTTTGATGGCTTCATGGGGTGCTCTGTTGGTGAGGATTAGGTCCCGAGTTCGAACCTCTGCTACTAGAGATCGCGGGCGAGCAGGTCACCTTAGGGATTAGTGGGGTGGAGCATTTGATACTTTAGTTATCTACAAACAGGGAGAAAGTACATAATGTTTAGAATCGTCATGGGTTGGCCTAGTGGTCAATAAAGGTCAGGACCGGGAGAGAATACCCACCCTCCTACCTCCTACCTTGAATTTAATGCCCTATGAGTTTAGGAGATCCCACATTCGTTTAGGAGGTTGGGAGGAGAATAAAGCATTTTTTATGAAGGTGTGAAAATCTCTCCCTAGAAGATGTGTTTTAAAATCCTTGAGAGGAAGCCTGAAAGAGAAAGCCCCTAGTGGTGAGCTTGGGCCGTTACAAATGGTATCAGAGCCCGGGCTTAGGCCATCACAAATGGTATCAGAGCCGAACACTAGATGATGCACTAGTGAGGAGGTTGATCCTTGAAGGGGGTGAGACAATTTTCTAGCAAGGACACTAGGTCTTGAAGTGGGGTGGATTGGGGGGCCCCACATAGGTTGGGGAGGAGAACAAAGGGGGCGAGGTAGTGTGCTAGCAAAGACACTAGGTCTCGAAGGGGGTGGATTGGAGGGTCTCACATAAGTTGGGGAGGAGAACGAAGGGGTGAGGTAGTGTGCTAGTAAGGACATTGGGCCACGAAGGGGGTGGATTGGGGGCTTTTACAAATGGTATCAGAGCCAGGGCTTGGGCCGTCACAAATGGTATTAGAGCCGAATATTAGATGATGTGCCAGTGGGGAGGTTGAGCCCCGAAAGGGGTAAGACAATGTTCTAGAAAGGACACTGGGTCTTGAATGGGGTGGATTGGGGGCCCACATAGGTTGGGGAGGAGAACGAAAGGGGTGAGGTAGTGTGCTAACAAAGACGCTGGGCCTCGAAGGAGGTGGATTGGGGGGTCTCAAATAAGTTGGGGAGGAGAACGAAGGGGGTGATGCAGTGTGCTAGCAAGGACGCTGGGCCATGAAAAGGGTGGATTGACGGGTCCCACATAGGTTGGGGAGGAGAATGAAGCATTCTTTATAAGAGTGTATAACTCTCTCTCTGGCATACGTGTTTTAAAAACCTTGAGGGGAAGCCCAAGGAGGACAATATTTGCTAGCGGTGGACTGGGGGCCGTTATAGGTAGGGTTAAGCAATTATCTCATTAAAATAATCGAGGGATGCACAAATAGGCTTGGACATTCACGGATATGAAGTAAAAGCAAAAAAAAAAAAAAAAAAAAAA